ATATTTCGAATTCGTAATCATTTTATAGCCTGATTTTCTCACCGTAACCTACTAACAAGCGTTTGTAACACTCACAAATATCTGGTCCGTCAAATGGTTAAAACAAAGCCATTACAAAATGAAATATTACGGGCAAGAAGAACCTATCTAGATAAGGGAATCATCATCATTATCGTCTCATGGCAGATGACAGTTAATATATGAATTATGTCAGAGGCAATGGAAAAGCGACTCCACAATGTTGAAGTACCATAAAAACACCTGTCGTGGAAGGAAGGAATCGTTTTAATAGAAACGCCATTAGCCAACTTACATAAATACGTCCTAGGATATATATAGATTGTGTCGGGGTTTGAATTTGCAAATTTTGACACTCGAACAGTAAATAAAAAGTAAGGAATACAAAAATTAGTAAACGTTAACGTGAGGTCTCGGGGACAAAGATAGAATTGTGAGATCATAATTTCATGACAAGCACAAGAATTCAACAAATGTAAAACAAATGATATAACCTGTCGATTGAACTTTTTGAGTCGTGGAAAAAGTAAAATAAGTACTAGAAATATGATATGATCAGAAAAACATCCATTGAAATAGTGGATTTAAACAACGACATAAATGAAGGAGGGGGATACTTTGGAGGGGTGTAGTTTGGTGTGTTTTCCAAATCGCCAAACCGTCAGTTGGTGAACCTGCTGTAAGGTCAAAGTAAAAATAAGCGTCGAACTTAAATCCATTAGAAAAGAACAATTATTAAGAGAAAAAGGAATAAACCCGCGGTTATGCTTGCCGTTAAGTGAAATGGGTTGGTTTAATCCCCATTTGAAGCGTAGGGTGGAAGTGAATCAAACAAATTACCATCAATTAAATTATCCGAAATGACCTGTGCCTTTTTCATACGTTGTGAAATAAGGCGTAAATCAACTTGAAATGTTGTGTCCTTTCTACGAATTTCATCGAAAACTTTATCATCAATTGATAAATGTGGGATCTTAAAAGCGGAATCCTCAAGAAGGGGTTGTAAATGTTTTTTTCAAGATGGAGACATCAAAGGATTAGGTGGGTATAATTTTGTCTTTTTTTCTCAATAATGAATTTTCATGTCTATGTCGAATTCATCCAGTTTCAACGCACAGTGACAAGGAATTTTAAATATACAAATCTGACAAGCTGGACGATTCTCAATGCGACCCTTACCCGTTAGTATTATTTTTTTAGGCCAGTTAAAAGAATTGTGCCTGGTTCGATTTCGAGAGCCATCGAACGCAGCCCATTTAATCGGAATTGAGTAGTGCACAAGCATTTAATTTCTTGTGCGTCTTGTGAAAACACAGCAAGTGCGCATGTGAGCGATGTGTTTGGTTTCGAACTATGAAAAATTGGACAATCTGGACAGGAACAATAAGCGAAATTAAAATTGAATCTGAGGTCTGAGAACAGTGAACTGTGCGTTCCCGATAATAATAACATGGATCCTTATGTGCAACGTGAAACAACGGGTATTCTGCATTGACATGTGTTTTAATCGTTTGTAAAGCTTTCCGAAACTGGGAGTAAAGATGGACTCAATCGTTGATTAACTAGTTGTCGAATGCCCAAATACTTTTCATCAATTTCTTGTCTAATTGTAGTTAGGAACGTGAGGCGTTCTTACACGATTTTCAACTTTATAAAAATAAATCTCTCCACATCTTGTATTTCAGTGACTAGTTTAATATCGTTTTGGTTTGTTTCAATATCCGCGAGAACGGATGAAATGCTTTCATTTGTTTTAGCCTTAAATGACGACATCCGACGAACTTGCACTTGGAAAGCACGAGAAGTATTAGCAGCATGCAACGACAACTGTTTAACGTACTGCGCCAGTTGTTCAACATCCTCGACTGTAGCAGTAGCAAACAGCGAACGACTAATTGAACCAATAAACGGAAACATTGATCGTTTCGTGCGGGAATCCTGCCGAAATATGTTAATATGGGGAATTAGCATTTTAATGTCTTTACGGACATTTGTCCAATACGCGAGCAACTCTCGTTCGGCCTGCTCTATATATCCATCTATCTCTTAAACGGTATACAAGACAAAGTATGGCTTGCACAAAATAACGTTGCATAAATATTTACTTGAAATATAATATCATATATCACTCATGTTTCGTAAGGAAGGTTTTCTTGTATTGTGAAACCCAGTAACTGTCGGACTGTATTCATCTCGAATTTCCATCTGCGAATAATAACAGACTCTATCTTAGAAGTATGATAACAATTGTTACAAGTAGGTAATATATAATCTCACACTAGGAACCGTGCGAGTAAGCAGCATCCAACAATAGTGAACCTATGTCACAGTATCAACATATATTTAGCCAATCAGGTGACTCGCTCGATTCTGCCCGCAGCTGAAATCTACTTCCGCCAGGGTTTCGTAACTTTTTTCCAGCTCGCTGAATGAACTGTCGATATTATAAGTAAGGTACATTAATCGAACTTAGAAGACTTGTACATGTGTAGAAATGTAATGTGTTATCTACCAATCTATGACTAGAAATGTACTTGTCAATAAGCGTACCATAAAGAAATGGACCTGTATATCGAATGTAAACAAATCGACAAGATTGCGAGTGACGCTCCTTTTCTCTACTTAGAAGGGGTATATATTTTTATTTACTGACCAAAAACGAGTTCTTGTGTGTTGACAGTGTATCATTTTATAGTGTTTGGGCCTGGCCTGTCTTTGTCACATGTCCTCATATAGATCAATTTTAATTGGTTAAGAACAATATCATACCATGATCTCATGTTTGTGTCGTGATCAGCAAATTACCGGAACCTTCTGATCGATTAAAGATGTCTATTGATTAATTGATTAGCTTCCTGCATGTTTGCGGGACACTTCGGCTTTCTGTCTCCATCATTATTAAAGCTATAATCATCAATTTATAGGCCGACTGTCGTATAATTTTCTAAGGGTTTAGGTTGATAGACCTATAACAGGAATAATATCGTCATTAAAGATGAATGAATAACTGACATAGCTTTCTTATGACCATAACATCAAATGTTGCGCGAGCAGCTTACATTGTATTTATTAATATACAGTAAAGTCCCGTTAATCCGACATCGATGGTTGCATATGATTATATCGGATTAACGAGTATGTCGGATAAACGAAATTAAGTAGTATCAACGTTTGTGATCGAAAATCGGACAGCTTCCCGAGAGATAACGATTCAAACATGTAATACAAAAATATAAAATAAATATTCATATTGTTATGTGACATTGTTGGCGGAATATGTTTTCTAATCATGCAACCTCTAAAGTTTAACACAAAACAACTGTTACGGACTGTATGACTTATTCAAAATACTTTAAAAAGCATAGTCTGGAATGGAAGTCGCAACTTTGAAACTGGTATCGCAAAGCTTAGAAAGCTGCTTTCTTAGTGGCTAACGTTGACTTCCTGTTACTAATTTCATTGGTAGGTCATAGTTCGCGAAAGGTTGTTCTGACGTGACCTGTAATCGGATGTCCTCGGCGATAGCGAGAACTTGTACCTGATTTTAATGAGATTGAGGTAATCTAAGCATGGATTAAATTCTGTTTTCTTTATTTAAAGCATTAATTGTTTATTGGTGAAGCAAGTTTATCTCTGCAGCCGTTGTAATACGCAGCTACCAGCCGATTCGTATCGCATCAAAACACGGGCTGTGTACTCGCGGGCAGATGACCACGGAGTACACTGATCACTGTGTCGGATTAACGAGACTGATTAATCAGTGATTTCGGTAATTCGTTGCAAAATAGCTGTGTCGGAGTCGGAATGCGAGACTGTCGGATTGACGGGTCTAAATAGCACTGATTTAATCGGTTCCCATCATTAGTGTCGGATAAAGCCAATTGTCGGATTAATATTAATATATTAAAGTCATCACTTCCATTTGTGTTGATATTACGAGCATAAAAAACATCTATGTAACTGTGAGGTAAGTGTGTATGTGTGTTTATGTGTATGTATGTGTGTATGTATCTATGATGAGTGCGTGTGTGTATGAATGAATGAATACTCTTTATTTCCCCCAATGATTTGGAGAGCAGTAAATACAGATTGAACTGGGTAAGCAGTAATGAAGTGATGCATGAAACTGTATTTACATGATGTGTGACATAGCTTCACACATACAATATGGATGTTAAGTTCCATGAGCTGACATGTTTAGCCACGATACTCATGAATGTTGCCCAGCTGTCAAGTGTCATGTCCTGGACCACATCTGTAATGGTCCCGAGGTATGTCAGAATCTTGACGTCATCAGTAGACGTGTCCTCAAGTCTGAGATAGATGTCTAGGCTAATTGGCTAATTTAACATTGTCAAATAGAGACTCACTAAGCACATTTCTCTGTTCCATTAGACCGTCACAGTAAAGCATTTGGTGCTCAACAATGTCATCACATTTACAGCTACAGATAAGACACAGTCCTGATGTTACTGGGAATATGCCGAGCTTTACCAGAGCATATACAGGGTGGGGGTGGTGTGTGTGTGTGTGTGTGTGTGGGGGGGGGGGGGGGGGGGGGGGGGGGGGGCAATATCATACCATACACACAGAGACCAGAGGCGGTGTGGGGCAAGGCGGGTGTGGATAGCACTAAACCTATGCATGTCTGTTGCAAAGTTTTTCTCCAATTCATATTTTCAGACTCACTCATGTGTGTGTGTGTGTGTGTGTGTGTGTGTGTGTGTGTGTGTGTGTGTTTTACAGTGTGTGTGTTACAGTGTGTGTGTTACAGTGTGTGTGTGTGTACACAAACATATTCACACATCACGTTTTAATTGTTTTAAACGTTTTAGAAATATTTATATGAAAAACATAATTGATGTCCATGTAGACCCCACGCTGGCTGACTATTCTAATTGGAAATCAAACTCTATAGGTACAAGCATATACATAGATGCAGCAGTTTTATGGAAAATGTAAACCACATAGACAACACTCACCTGTACTCGGGGACTGTTGCCACATAGCTCCCCAGTAAGTCTGATCAGAATGATCGCTGACTACCCATGTCATTGGATTCTCTGAGCTGTAAATCAATAGCTGATCTAGGGTGCGGACCTATAGCAATCCTATAGTCACAAAACACTGGGAACGTGTTTCACAAATTACCTGTCACAAATCAATTTACAATCAACAGGCCTACACACTGATAAATCGGACTTCCTAAAAAAGTAAAATCGGTTGGAGGTACGGATTCCTGGCAATATTGTAACAAACAAAATTTGTTCTAGAAATGTATTGTCTGTATGTTTTGCATGTTTTGTCTTGTATGCTCTTTGTCGCCAACAAAATATTTAATATGTGTGGTTTCTTAGTTTTAAGAGAAGCACGGGTGGTCCAGTTCTTTAAGGCGCCGCTATTCGCTGTGCAGGGTAACGTCCCTTAGGCGTTCAAGACACCTATGATTGTGGGTTTGAATCCAGATTCGCCCTGATTATGTTTCTAGGTTTGTCCGTTCCATACCCGTGCCCATGGGTTTCACCAAAGAGGTAAAGGTCTAATGCTTGCATCACGACGGATCTCCCGCATCAAGCTGACACGCCATGACAAAAAAATGGAACCACAGAAGTCCTGTTTTAAAGGATATTCACTGGCTAAAAGTTGGTACAAGAATACAATGCCAGATCCTTGTATTAGTCTCCAAGGCCGGACAATCCGATTAATTATTATTATTATTATTATTATTATTATTATTTACAGATTAAAATAACAAAATGCAGTAAAGAGGGTTTGGGTGATACTGGCACAGCCAGGCTGGTTCGGCTCATCATCCTCTCAGGGCCCTTGCCCCCTCTACACGCAGCCCAGACAGCGAATGGGACTTTTCCCAGGAAGCGCTGCCTGGTCAAAAACACACAGACCTTTTAGGAGAATGTGAAGACTCCCCAACACTGCAGCCTTCTGCATTACCCAGATTGTCAGAAGGGCTGTATTCTTAGAAGCAAACCCGGGTACTCTCCCAATGTCAGTCAACAGATTGGGAGGTACCAAACCTAAGGCACCGAGAACAATGGGGAGTCGGACAACCTGGTATTTGGGATGCAAGCGTGACATTTCGAAAGCGAGGTCCGCATATTTGCCATGTTTTTCTTCAATCTTGTCAATCACATTACTGTCAAAGAAGACAGAAAATTCAATGATATAAATGATTTCATTGGATTTATCAAAAAGGACAAGATCAGGTTTGATGACCTGGATACGTCTGAGACTGTAAATGGGCCTATTCCAAAGAATTTTGTATTTATCATTTTCCATGACGCCCGCTACATATTCAGGGTCGTACCATGGGTGGACCTCTGTGTCAAAACCACAAGCATGGCTAAGCCGGTAATAAAATGATCGAGCTACACCATTATGTCGTTTAAGATGCCGTGTTTGTGCCAAATCTGGGCATCCACTCACAATGTGTTGGACAGTCTCATTAAATGCATTACATAATCTACATTTCATATTTATATTTTGATGCACAATCACACATTGATGGTTTCGAGTGGGAAGTGACTGGTACTGAGCAGCAAACAGAAAGCCTTCTGTTTCACTTTTCAGGCCAGACGGCTTCATCCAAGCAAAGGACTCTGCACGAATGCTGATCTTCTCAACACACTGTATATGAACTCGATTCAGTGGTCGTTCAGATAGCCCCTCCTTTAAAAACTGAGTCTGGGCCGACTTGATATGGCACTTCGCTTGGTTGACACTCATTTCTGTACCGTCCAGCAGTACAGAACCATCAACAAAATCAACACCGACATTGAGATTATGCCCCACTTCCTTTGCTCGTTTTAGAAAACTGTTGAATGCCTTGTTTTCATCATGAGTCTTGACATGCTTCACAAGAGGATCATCAGACAAATAAATGTGTGCAAAAATGCACAAAACAATTCTATCATGAAGAGCCCCAACGTTAATCAAACCACGTCTTCCCATAATGATTCGTAAATATAAGCGATTGAGGGAAGAGCGGGGGTGGTGGGATCTATTGTCTGACATGATTCTTCGTGTGAGGGTGTCAATACCCTGAATTTCTTGTTTTTTCCAATCAACAACACCAAAAGACTATGAAAGGACGGGTATAGCATAAGTATTTGTGGCTTTTATTTTATTGCGAGCGTTCAGCTCTGAACTCCAGATTTTCTTAAGTCTACATTAGTACTCTGCCCGAAGTTTTTCCTTCATATGGGCATTCTGGAGTTCCACGAGATGGTCAATAACTCTTCCTCCAAGGAAACTGACTGATCCTCCCTCTTCTACCTTGCCACGTTTCATATGAAGAATGTTGCATTTGTCGAGTCCAAAGGACATGCCGATATCATTGGAAAAGAACTCGACAAGGAGAATCTGTTTTTTGAGTGAGGATCCTCCATTGGCAATAAGTTCAAGGTCATCCATGTTAAGGAGGTAGGTAAGGGGTGTTGGGGATCTGTGCTGAGGAGGTCCAGGATGATAACCTTCCGCTTTGCTAAGCAAAAAGCTTAAAGGATATAATGACAAACAGAAAAGCAAAAGACTGAAAGAATCGCCCTGAAATATTCCTCTTCTAATAGAAATGGGTTCGAAGTCACCACCTGCCCCTGCGAATACATCTCGAGTTGAGTTGACCAGAAATTCATTAAAGACTTGAGTAAAACAAGTATTCGCTCGGGCAGGTCAATTCATTCCAGTGACTTCAAAATCCATTCGTGAGGTACAGAATCATAAGCTTTTCTGTAATCTATCAAACACGTTGAGAGGTTACGATGGTGTGTTAATATATTCAATGTTACGGAACATTGATGCCAACGTTGTCTTTACGTTTGAACGAGAGCTAATTTCCTGGAAACAGCATGACTGAACACCTCCTAACTACCTAATACCTAATGAACTGACTGGAGGCTTTACAAATACTCGACTGTGACGAACTGACAATAGATCGGCGAAGTACTTTCATGAACAGGGAAAGCAAAAAACACCGACTTGTAATTAGGTATTACACTTGAAAAGATAAGAACTTCAAGTATAATCGATCAACTGATCATCGATTTATTTGTTCAGCGAGGCAGTTTGGTCATTACAACATTTCAGTAAAGGTTGTGGAGTTAATGATACCATGATTAGGTATATTCCAGTCCAATTATCTGTCCAAAGACATCCTACATGTTCTTAACGACGTCCCAGGCCTTGTTACAATGGGATACCACAAGGACAAATCAGTTGCAATTCAATAGTACATGTTGGCTTCTATATGGAGTAAATTATTTTCATAGCGAGTAGGGCTTCACACCGCTTAAGGCAATATTCCAAAATGTGGACTAAAATTATTCCCTCTGATTCTTTACAACACATAGTTCACGACATGGGGCGCACCCAGTTTTTAGTGCGGCGTGAATTTCGTGTAATGTTATAGATAATGTTATGGATTTACATTATATCACTGGAGACACAATCTAAAACATGGGAATCTGGCCATGGGTACACGGAAGCTGAAATGTGTGAATGCCAGATAATGTGGAACGGTCAGGAAACTGTCTTCGGGAAGCACGCAGTCAACCAACATAGTGCTCCAACGTCAATACCATGTCATGTCATGTCGCCATTGGCAACAACCTCTGAAAGCAAGCACCCATGTATGCCATGGATTGCCACGGAAATGTTCTCTCAGAACGGCATGTCAATAGTGAGGTGTGCAGTCACATCGATCTATTGTCATGATTACAAGGGGCGGTGGGTTAGCCTGGTGGTCAATACGTCTGAATAGCCATTCATGTGAAATGTGGCGTAAAAAAACCCTGATTTTATGTTAAATTGGCAAAACAAGCGAATCAGTTAACCTACCCTGCTGATGTCGTTTTTTGGAACTCGATGTTTCAAAATCAAGTTGCATACTTATCACAACATTATTTTTTGTGATTTGCACTTTGACGTCATTGTGACACAACAAATACTGTCATGTGGATAGGGTACCAACAAACTAGCATCACGGATCACGACCAAAGTCCAGTTTCCACCCTTGCCGAACTAGGCTGGTATTATGGAGTTACATTTTGGCTAGACTAACGAGTCTATGAATAGTCCAATCAAAATCGCGCACCGAAATCTAAATCCGGTTCGTAAACTGTCGTGCAGATTTCGATCGATTGCAGGATTTGCAAAGCATGTGCACCGCCAACTCGTTGTCAGCAAAATTTTAATATTTCCCAAATCAAGGTGCTTACGTGATTTGATGCATTTCGCAATGTAAGACATGTTTTATCACAATACAGATCTTGATTATCGATCAGATCGTCCTGACTGGGCGCCACCATTTTCTGTGAAGCAAACGCAAGTGATGGAATCTGACTGGTCCATAGGAGAGGCTTAAAAGGGACGTAACTGGTAATAGCCACTGGTGGCGCTACGATCGAGCCTAGTAATATTCCAGCCTAGGTCGGCAAGGGTGGAAACTGGACTTTTAAAGTCAGTTAACTCTCTTGCCTCGGGAAGATGTTGCCAAAACTGTGAGGAGTCAGTGAATTCAGCTAAGGACAATAGTTAATTCACAAAACAAGACATTGGAAGCTTTCTTACACTTTCTTAGAAATAATAACGCTTACCTTTAGTTCATGAAATGCGACGTAGGTGCTGCAATCTGTAAAAGTCCAAACACAATGTTTTCGCTCAGATAAGTATTACTCAAGATGCTTAGCGCGCCACGATCGGCTAATGAACCCCTGCTGTGGCAATCAGCGCGTCTCACATCAGTGGCGACAACCAGAGCAGTGATCAGTCAAAGAGATGTTCCAGTACAGTAAACTACGGTTATAACGAACTCAAAGGGACTACTATGTTTAGTTCGTTTAGTTCGTTATAAGCATATATACAGCATAACTACAGCAAATAGTCGGGACTTAAAAGTTAGTTCGTTAAATCCGTCAGTTCGTAATAAGCGTGTTCGTTATAACTGTAGTTTACTGTATTTATTGTGGGGCTGTTGTTATTGTTGTTTTAAGTGTTAATCTGCTAATCTGTCCCTCTTTGAGACTCATGTGTGTGAGTTTCATTATTCATATAGTTTCTGTTTTCGT